GAGAGAGAGAGACAGGGAGAGAGAGAGAGAGCACGAGCAGTGGGAGGGGCAGAGGGAGAGGGACAACAGCTCTGTGCTCCATCCCAGCACCCCGGCATCAGGACCTGAGCCGAAGGCAGACGCTTCACCGACTGAGCCACCCAGGTGCCCCTAGAAAGGGCTGCCTGGTAACCCCCTAGAGCAGTGGGATGGCCGCCATGTGGGTGGCGGTTTCTGGGCGGCTTAGGTGGGATACCAGCTGCCTTGTCAACTCAGGGGCAGTGCGGCCCCACGTTCCCCAGACATAGCTCCAGGTTCAGGAGGACGTCCCAGCGGGCTGGGGGGTGGGTGGAGCAGGGCCAGGAAGGCACTCCCGGCTAGTGGAAGGTTCTGGAACAAGTCCTGGCGTTCCCTGAGGATTCGCTTCTCTGTGGAGGCAAGCCCACGTGGGACGCGGGGCCTGGGGAGGTGATGGGAGCCTGGAGACGGGTCCTTCACCTTGAACATGGCCGAGAGGAGCCCGAGGATGCTGCGGTGTGGCCCCGCCGTGTGGTTGTGGAGCAGCCCAGACGGATGGAGGGAGGGACCGAGGGAGTAAGAACTAGAGCAGTCTGCTGCTGGGGACAGGAGCCTCTCACTGCGGCTGGCGGCTGGCCGGGGGTTAGATAGGAAGGGGGACTTCCGATGGTCCGGACTCGCTGCTGGCTGGGTCCAGGGGGGCTGGGAGGGGTGGATGTGAAGGCTTTTCCAGGAAGAGTCTCCACCTGCCCAGAGGAAGGGCCACTCTGTGCAGGGGCCACTTGCCTGGGTGACAGGAGTGTGGCCGCGTCCCGCGCCCTGCCCCCCAGGGGACTCAGGCCCGCGTCATTGTCCCTCTACCTTCCGTCCGTCAGGCCCCCCCTCCAGGGTCTCCTCCTGTCTGTGGGAGCGGGGGACAGGGTGGCCTGGGGACATTGCCCTTGCCATCCCGGAAGCACCGCCACCAGCACGAGAATCCCTCCCCACCCCAGCAGAGGCGTCCCCACCAGCTTTGGCTGCACACGTTCCTGCCCGCCACGGTGACCACCGCCGTCGCCAGCCCCATCCTCGGGGCGTGGTGGTCCTGCTGACGGCAGGGGAAGGGTGGCCTGGGAGGCAGTCTCGAAGGGCCGAGGAGGACGGCCTGCCTACAAAGGTGCCGTGACCATGAGGAAAACAGCGTCCAGGGAAAGGAGCGGCTTGTGACCGAGGGGACAGCAGAGGGAGGCCCGCGGCTGCCCATGGGTGACCTCCCCCCCGAGGGGAGTGTCCAGGGGTTGGGGCCGGCGGGCTGGGCTCACTACCTGCCCCGCAGCCCCCGCCCCGCAGGGAAGCCCCACTCCAACCCCCGGGGCTCCGTTTCCTCATCCGGAGAGGCTGTCAGGACCCTGCCTTGTCCAGCCCCAAGAGCACAGCCGTGGGAACAGCTGGATGAACTGAGGGCCACCCAGAGACCAGCTCTGTGCACCTGGGGGTCACCACGGAAGGCACCGGAGGCCGACCCATGCAGGGCCCAGCGGTCTTGACGAATCCGGGGGGAACGTCCCCAGCAGGCTTCCTGCGCTGTGGGCAGGAGCGAGGACAGCGATTTCCGGGCTCCGACCCCATGCCAGGTGGCCGTGGAGCGCTGAACAGCCGGGAATGTGGGGCCCGGGGAAGAACAGAGGATGTGGCCTCTCCTGGAAGGACAGGGCCCTCCTGGTGGGAGCTAGAATGGAGGGGAGCCTGAGCCGCTGTTCACACCCTCCGAGCCACTCCCATTGCAGGCAGGGAGCACGTGGCCTGGGTCCACCCTCATTGGTTCGTTTCTTCCAGGTTTTCTGTGGCATGCGTAAGCAGGGCAGGGGAGGTCAGGTCACTCCACAAGGGCAGCGGGGCGCCCTGCACTCGGTGGTCCCCTTACGTGGACCCCCGTCCCGGGGGGTCCTCCGGCTTCCTTCGGCATCCGCGGGGGCATGAGAGAGCCGGCACCGGCCCCCGCCCTCGTCTGCACCCCCCAGGCCAGTGGGGCTTGGAGTCCGAGGCACCTCCGGGTGGAGAGCATGCATTCAGTACTGGTAAGATGCCAGCCAGCGCCCGGCCAGCGCCGCCCTCGAACGTGCGTGGTCGCATCTAGCGGTCAAATGAACTTTAACAAGCCTCGGTTGGGCTTAGGTTTTGCTGCCAAATCTCACCAAACAAAGTTGGCGTTTTGAAGTGTTCAGGACCGTGGCTGAGAGGCGGGTTCTTGCGTGCCTGTGTGCCTGTGCAATCCCCTCTGGCTGTCCACTCCCCCCAGCAGCCACACTGGTCACCAGTGGCCCCTCTCCATCCTCGGTCACTTGTGCTCGTGGCCCGAGGCGGTCCAGAGTGGTGGGCCAGGTGCCGTGGGAACCCACGCCAGGCAGTTCCCCCGCTTTTCAGTGGGCTTGGCATTGTGTTCATCTTGAATGACGTGGTTGGGGGGCCGCAATCTCAGGGTGCTGGGGCCGGCCAACAGCCCACCTGTGCACCCCCTCTTTGGGCCAGTGGACTCTGCTGCCCGCGGGGGGGGGACGTGCAGCCTGGGGGCGGAGCCTGGCTCACGGCCCCTCCCAGCCTCACAGCGCCTGGCCGGGCTCTCTGCGCGGGCTCAGGCTGTCCCCTGCTGGAAACACCGAGGAGAGGCAAGCATTTCTGCTCTCAGGGACAAGCTTCTCAAAGGTTCAGGCTCAGAAACCGGGCTGTGGGCGGCGGGCCAAGGTGGGAGGTGGCAGAGGGCAGGGCAGGATGGAGCACGGGGTGCGGCTCTAGGCGTGTCCTCATTTGTCCCTCACGCCTGCCCCAGGACCAAGGGGGAGGTGTGTGGGCCAGGGGTGAGGCAGAGGGCCAGGGTCCTGGAGGAGGAGATCTTGGGCACACCAAGGCCAGCTGGAAGGAGCGGGGCCCCGGCTCCCTCCCTCCCTCCCTCCACATACTCTGCCCCGGTCCCAGATTGCCCCCTCCCCCCCCAGGAAACGGCAAGGGCACAGGGACATCACACGCCAACGACCCCTGTGGGTCTAAAAGTCTGGGGGCAGGGGAGCAAGGGAGCCCAGCATCCGAGGGTCCCCATCAGTTTCCTCATAGCACGCTTCGGGGCCACACGCCCGTGGGCCTGGGGGCCAAGGTCCACACAGCGTGGGCTCCTGACTCCCAGGCAGGGTGCAGGGGTGGAGCCCCGTGCCCACCAGGCCTCCCCAGCCCTTTTGACCCCCATGGAAGGACCAAGGCCGCTCCGTGAAAGCCACGGGGCTGTGGCTTGGGCAGCACAGAGGGAGGCCACACAGACGGGACGTGGGTTTTTAATTCTTTTTATTGAAGAAAAGAAAAGGAGAGAAAAAATAGATTCCCCACCCCTGCTCTTCCCGGAGTGGGCTTCTAGTCCTGCCCCTGGGGTCTGCACAGGTGAGCAAGGGCTGTGCTCTCCACCTGGGTCTGGGGAGGGGCCCCGGGCCCTGGAAAGGTGGGGGGGCTGCTTCCCGAGGGGTAAGGATGTCTAAAAAATGGTGCCAGGCCAGCTGGGCCAAGCAGGCTGGTCCTCTGCTGCGGCAGCTCGTCAGGCATCCCGGGGATGCTGGCCGCACCTGGCCCGGCCCCTGTGCGCGGCCCGCCCGCCTGCCCGCCGGCGCGCGGGGCTGGAGGAGGGCGGAGTCTGAGGCACCTTCCAGCCTCTGGAGCCCTGTGCCCACGTGGGCCGCCGGTGCCTCCTGTCCCGTCTGGCTCTGGTCCCAGCACTGCGGGCCTCCGCCTGGCCGCCATCCGAGCACCCTGAGGCCGGGACGCGGGCCTGGCCCACAGCCCGAGAGCATGTCTGTGCCCGTCCCGTGGCAGGAGCGGGCAGGAGCGGGCAGAGCAGCATCCCTCCTCGTGGCCCGGTGCATGGCTGCCGCCCACCTGCTCAGACCTCGGTCTGGAGGTCGATGATGTCCTGGCCCACCAGCGGGATCGTGGCGCCCGACTTCTCCCACTCCACGCTCCGCAGCTCCAGTGGGGACGGCGGCAGCGGCTCCAGTTCCTTCTTCACCCACGCAGGCGTCCCGTGGGCTTTCCGAAGGCTCTCCCAGGGCCGCTTGTTGGGTGTCTGCTGCTTTTCTGGCTGCTGGGCGGTGGGCAGGGCGGAGGGAGGGGCCGCGAGGGAGGCCACGGAGCAAAATCAGATGCGGAGCAGGGAAAGAATGCAGGCAGCAGTCAGAACAGAGGGGAAGGGGCAGCAGAGAGGCGGGGAGTGGGGGGAGATCCCAGGTGACCCAGGAGCAGAGCACCTCCCACTGTGGGGTCAGCACTGAGTGGGGGGAAGGCCTGCGGTGAAGGGCAGCTGTCTGGCAGCACTCCCTTGGCCGTGGTCTTCCTTGGGAGGCAGGCTGACCATACGCCAGTGCACCCCCACCTCTCCGGACGGGGCCCCAGGAGTCACTGTGCCCCCACCCTCCAGAGGGGGCCCCAGGAGTCGGCGCGCCCCCACCCCTCCGGACGGGGCCCCAGGAGCCAGTGCACCCCCACCCCTCCAGGCAGCCTCCCCCCTGCCCGGGAAGGCCCGTTGGCTTGCCCTGCCCTCCAGGGTCTAGCGCGGGCCAGGTCAGGCCAGTCTCCAGGAAAGGTCGCAGGAAAGAACGAGTGAAGGGGGAGGGTAGGAAAAAAAGTGCAGGAGACAGCCTTGCCTAAGGGCTCTCCCGAGCGCCCCGCCCCACGCCGCCACCCCACCCAGCGCCCCAGGGCCCTGCCCCGCTCCAGACCTTGCTGTCTGGGCCTAGCACCTCCTTGTCCTTCTCCGCGTGCTGCAGCTTCCGGTTCAGGTCCTGAAACATGTCCTGGTGCCGCTTCCGCGTGTGCATGATTTTCTGCGGGGCAGGAGGGGTGGCGGAGCCTGAGCCCAGAGGGGGGCGGAGCCTGAGCCCAG